TTCCTTTAATAAAAAGAATTAAAGCTTTTAAGATAGAGATAAAATTATACTAATAGTATAAAGATATCTATCGATACTATCTATATCCTTATAGTATTTTAAAAGCTTTTCTAACGTAGCTTTAAAGGTAGATTATATAAGCTATTTCTATAGAACCTTCTTCTATCTAAATATAGCGATCGCTTTCTTAAAATAGTTAAAAGGGCGGTTATATATACTAAAGATAAGATAGATACTCGAGTCTTTAGTCCTAGAAATAAGACTTATAAACTTATAGGATAGTTTAAGAATAAAGAGTAGATATTTAATCTACCTCTATTCTCCTAGGCTTAGTATAAAGTAAGGCTACTTATACTATAAGTAGAAGGTATCGAATACTAGCTATAGTCTATTTACTTACCGGAGTATTAAGAAAGTTAAATTCTACTATATCCTAATATCTTAGATTAGAATAAGCTTAGGCTCTTTATCCTAGAGAGTATAAAATATATCCCGCCGCTATAGGCTTATATTAATATAAATAGTAAGGTTATAAATCTAAAAGAGATATTAGTATATAAAAGTAATATTAAGAATATAGTATACCTTATTAAGTATATCTACGATCTTATACTTTCTTTAGTATATATATAATACCCTTATATAATTATTAGACTAGTATAACTTAGTAATATTATTATTTAGGGATATCTTTATCTTCCTAAGTAAATCTATAAGACTAATTTAGATAATATAAGTAATATAAGGAATACGAATAATCGTAGAATTAGTACTTAGTTAGATAGTCCTCGCTAAGTCGTTTATAGCCTAAACTAGTATTATATTATTTAAGATATTATCTATAGTAATTATAAGTACTCGATTAAGAATATTATATTTTTATAATATCTAAGTAATAACCTTACTAAGATTTAACCTAAAGTATATACTAGAGAGTAGCTTAAAGCTAAGAAAAACCTCGCGGTACTCCTAATCTTCGTTTAGAAAGTAGCCTATTACTATTATAAATACCTATTAAAATAGCGATATCTAATAGTCTAATATAAGGGAGAGCTTTATCTTTAGTAGTAGACTCTAGAGAAGTCTTTCTTAGTATTTATTAATAAATATCTTTAACCGCTTATAGATAGTTTATTATAAGGGAATAGTTAGTATAATTAGAGTAAGGCGTATATATTTAATAATATCGGTAAACTCCTAATATTTAAGAAATAAAAATAGGAGATATAAAGTAGTAAGAAGACTAAATAGCTTTTACTCCTAAATATCCTATAAGAAGATAAGAGCTAGTTTATTTAACGCCTATAGATAATTTAATAATAAAGATAATATAAAAGGATATAATATATAGCTATCTTAAGTAAATTCTTAATATTTAGTCTTCTTAATATAAATTTAGTATAATTTACCCCCTTTCTATACTTATTTATAGATAATATACCTATATAAATAGCTACTAGATAATTAAGAACCTTCCGATATTACTTATATATTATACCTAGCTTCTTATCTTTAGTATTTACTACTTAGTCGAAATTATTCTAGTATTCTACTTAATAACGCGCGTCCTAGTTTATACGTTTAGACTTCCTAAATTCTATCTAAAGCTACTATTTAATAAATTCCTTACTTATTATATTATAGTATAAGGTAAAGGAATTAATATAGTTAGGATTTAGTATTATAAGATAAGGAGGTAAAGATATATATTACGAAGAGCTAAAAGGGGCGAACTAATAACTATCGTATACTAATATTAAGGTTTATTAACTTCCTAACGTATAAGGGGTTATAAATAGTATATCGTTAGGGAGAAGATATTAAAGAGCGTCTAATAAAGCCCCCTTATAGTTTAAGGAAGTATAAATATTAGAAAATTATAATATATTTAATATAGGTAAATATAAACGTAGTAAGGAGTAGATAACTTATAGTAAATTCTTTTCTATAATTAAAGTATAAAGGACTAAAATTTACTATTTTTACTAAGTAGATCTATTAACCTATTTAATAAACTATTACTATTAGTTAGTTTATAAGGGTTATCTATAACGAACCTCGTTTAGACCCTTAATAAACCTCGTTTAGACCCTTAGCGAACCTTATATTTCTAACCTTAGTCGGAAAATAGATAGTATCTAGTTATTATATAAAGCCTTCTAAACCCTATATTTCTAACCTTAGTTAGAAATAGATAGTATATCTAGTTATTATATAAAGCCCTTTAAACTAGTTTAGATATAATTCTCTTATATCTAAAGGGTAGAAACAAAATATATTTCTTTTAAGCAATATTATATATATTAATATATATCTATAATATATATTTCTACTATAATATAGACTAATTACTTCTACCTTACTAAATACCGCTTCCCTACGGTCGTATAGTATAAAAGAAGTATAGAACTAAGAGAACTATACTTAAAATATAATATTATTAAATAATTTTAGATTATTTAACAACTTAGATAGTCATAAATTAGTGATCATAATCTAGTAGACAAAATATATATAAATAACTATATTTTATTAAGATATATAAGCAGTTTTATCCACCTTAATTAGGCTTAGCGCTCGAAATTTATATATCCGAGGGTCGCTACGGGTCGTGGAGGGTCACCCGCGAGCGACCCTTAGAGGGTCAGGGTGGAGGGTCCAAGATCATGGACCACCCGGAGGGTCACTGCCAGGTCTACTTAGAGGACTCCTTAATCTTATACGAAGTAATACTTTAATTAACGAAGCTTACTTTTATAGTTAGACGTAGTTCGATAGGGTTTTAGGGTCCTAATCACTACCCCGGCTCGGAGGGGGGGGGGTTAGGGTTTAAAGCTAGATATTAAGCTTTAAGGCTATTTAGTTAGGTATAAATAGTACTAAACTAGCCACTATAAAGCTATTGTTAATTATCTCCGATTTAAAAGCTTTAATTTATACCCGAGGGTATACTTCGAGGAAGTTAAGTTTATTAATATAGTTAATCCTAGTCTATATTTTTATCTTAACTACCTAACTATATATACGTTTTAATACTATAAAACAACTAATATCTAGAGGTTATAAAAGATAAGATAAATACGTTAGTATATAGATTAGTATTACCTTATTTTACTTATAAAGTTTATTAAATTTAGATATTAAATAACTTCTATAACTATTAAGTATTAAAAGCCGGTATACCCCCTTTATATATATAGTACTAGGAATAAAGGCTAATTTTATCGGAAGTCTAGCTATTAAGACTAACTTCGAAACGCTAATCCTCTAGAAGGCCGTTAAACTATAATTTAATAATGACTTTATTTTTAAAAACTATATATAGAGGAAGGGCCTAGCTAAAAGTATTTATATATTTAGTAATAATTATCTACTCTTAATTTCTAGATTATAAAACTGGCCTCCGATTATAGTATTTACTCTACGTAATAACCTTTATAGTTATAGTTAATCCTATTATAAAGCTAGTCTTATTAAAATTATAGATATTATTAAGATTAATTCTAAATTAGAGGATTATCTTTTAAACTAGATTAAACTACTCTCTAATAATTTTAGGGTCTTTATATTTATACGCTTATAGTTATACTATTTTAAGAATCGGGAGAAGAGGAGAGGACGTCGTTTAATAAATTTCGTAACCTAATTTTAGCCGACCGAAGGAACTAGGGTAGTTCTACGCCTTTAAAGAAGATCTACTATTTCTCGTACTATAGAGGGCCGAGGGGCTACTCTATATAGATCTATAGAGATAATCTATTTTTAAAGAGATTCCTCTTTAATTTTAGTTAATTTCGAGTAATTAGCGCGTATAGTAGTACTCCGTTAAGTATAGCCGGAGGTGGTGGTCGCGTAAGGTTATATAAGATATATTAAAACGGCGTATTAATTTACGTATTAAGTATATTTCTTGATTTTTAAAAGCCTAGATAGCTAGTAAAATCCTACCCTCTTACTCTATTAAATTCCTAAAGTTTCGAGAGCGAATTAGTAGTATAGTAGGTAGTTAAATTGACTAAGTACTAATTCATAGACGCGTTTTCGTTAGGGTAGGCGGTTTGGTAGTAAAAATGCGTTGGTAAGGTATAAAATGTAAAATAGAGTTTCTTTATATTTTTAGGTAGCTTTAAGCGATAATTTACTAGTCCAAATTTTTCTTTAATTTTAAATAGTCCTGGTTATAAGTAGTCTAATTTATTACTAAGTCGCTTAGTTTTAATATTATAGTATAATAGATATACCTTTTCCCCCTCTTTAAAATTATATCCCTTCCTATAGTAGTTATTATAATATTTCTTTATATATAGATTAATAAAATTAATATCTCTAGCTAATTATATATATAACTGTTACGCACTAGCTAACTGGTTATAGTTAGGTTAGATAGGTTCAGGGTATACTTGCCTTAATACTCCTCGAATGGTCTAACGTTAATAATCGGATCGTAACTGAGCTAATGCCGCGTAGGGCCTTACTAAACTATATGCTAAACTAGCGGGAGGCTTAATCGATTTCACCCCCCCCCCCCTTGGTCGCTTATGGGTAGCGAGTATATTGGTTGAGGTGGGTAGCTCGCTTACGGAATATGTTATTTATATATAACTCTCAACTCAATTGATAAAAATCCGCTATTTTCCTAATATATATATATATATACCACTGCAGTTAAACTGAGTTCTAGAACTCAGTTTGGCTAAGCCTTTCTGGCTTAATGAGTAAACTCTTGGAGTAGTGGCCAGCGAGGAACTCACATGGATGGGCTGACCAACGATAATATACACCTTTGTGTAGAGCACACCATCATGGCGGTCCATAGATTGTCCGGGTTTCAATACCCTATATTTTTATCATATATTCAGCCATAAGTCATATGATAGGTTTTCTAAATACATACTATAACCTTTATTCGCCGTGGACAAGGGGACAAGGGGACAAAAACCGATTATAGTCAATGGATCATTCAAGCTATAAACAAGAAACATAGCGAACATTAGTAATAGCTATAAGAAGTTGCCCTTGGTAAAACGTGTGTTGTAATCTGCAGCCTTCTTGACCATCTCTCGGCGCTGGGCACTAGATATCTTTGAAGCAACTGCCATATCTTTCTCTCGATCAAACGCGCGCGCACTCGGATCATCATCTTCTTTCGCAGCCTGACTTGGGTTCTCTAGGCGAGTGTTCTTCCCAGTCATGTCCTACAACAAGAACACTTATATTAGAAACAAAACAAAGAATACGGGGAAGATGAAGTATGAAGTGCCTTTCCGAGGAAAGCATATGCCAAAAATTACCTTGTATCTCTTGATTTGATCCTCCATCAATTTCGCGTTTGAAGCACCTTTGTGGTCCCCGGGCTGATTCGTTGAAGTAGCAACGCCCATAACTGCATCCTGTAGTCGTCTCATTCGCTCCTCTGGAGACTCAATCCACGAGGAATCCATGTTCTTAGATGCCGTGGCCGATTTGCCTGTATTGAACTTGCGATTTCGTAGTTGTGTAGGGTCAATTTTGGAAGACCAGTCGGAATGGGAAGGAGGTTGCAGCATCCATTGATCTCGCTGGCTTTCTCTTTCCACTGATTGAGATATATCGGGAGCCGTAAACTCTTGCTGCACATGATCTTCCACTAGACCAGATGGAGGAAGGCTTGGACCGACATCATCATCATCATCATCATCATCATCATCATCATCATCGTCATTTTTGCTAGTTTCACTGCTTGCTGTGTCGGCCTGAGGCGGAGGGAGAGAAGGTCCGATTACCTTCCGCTGCTTCGAGACCGATCCGGGCTGAGGATCATCTGTATTCCCATCAAATTTCCGCTTGTCTTTAGAATCCATTGCTGAACAAGACGAGATATGTTAGGAAAAAGAAGTCCAGAAGAAATAACTTGATCTCTTATCGGAACTTTTCCCACTTATCGCGTATGGTAATATTGTAACAGAGCTGATGTCATCAGAAAGGTACGGGAACTTATTGGCCCACTTTATTTTGTATAGAGACATATGTACATATGTAACATAGTAAGCTTCACTTTGGTACGGCAAATACCACACCTTGAAATGTTTCCTTCGCTATTTCGCAGCCCATTCAACCCATTCAACACCTTTATACCTTGTACATTGTGATATAACTCCAACTTCCTTTTCTTTTTAAGAGTTAATGATCACCTGATGCAATACATTGGGATACGCCCCATTTATTTTCTGTTTCTCTACTAGTCACACATCGAGACCGCTTTTTCGACCCCGCATGGCATGGCATGCTCATAAACAAACACACCGATAAGACCCAAAGTGTCTTAAATCAACTGAATCCCCCCCCCCGATGTTTATTCTCTGCCAACCATCTTCATATCCAATAGCATGGTTCAGAGCTGTCATAGATTTCGAGGATTAGACAATGGGTCATTTCCCAGAAGCACATGGGAAACCTAACATGCCCACGGAGGATGGAAGAGAGGTCTGTCAATCCACAGACAAACTTCAAGATCTGATCACTCCTCCCGAGTGTCAACCACTCGGATCTGCACTTCTACAAAGTCAAGTACCACCGAGGGTTCCTCGGAGATTCATGATCCAGCCAATCGAAACCCTATCGCGAAGCTCAAACGTCCAACGGCCAGCTTTGAGCGGAGCAAAAAAACCCGCTCTATCAAAGCCCGAAATACATTCGAAAGAACCCAGTGAACATCGAACAATCAGAAGATTTCTACCTGAGCCAATTGAAACAAGCAAAGCTAGTAATAGACGGTCTCATTCGACTTCCGAGGTCCACGAGAGAAATTCCGCGTCACATAGCAAGGCATCAACGGCCCCGAGAAGATTCAAACCCGACTTGATAGAAACCGCTACCCATTCGGTTCGAAAACGGAAACCTGTACGGTTTCCCCAACGGCAAAATGCCGTAGGATCTTCAGCACCCAATACAATCATTTGTCAAGACACGGCATCATGGCTAAATCCAAACCCCCATGCCAATACTTATCTGCCATCCGAGTCTCAATTTTCCTATTCCAATATCCTGCGCCGACAACAAGCCAGCAGACACTCGTTTCGAGTTCCAGGTCTTCCGTCGATCCCCTCTGACAGCAGCGAAGAATCCGATAACTCCAGATCGCATTCAGCGTGCACTTCGCCGCCTGGGCCTTCCAATAAAGCGACACAAGATTTACACACGAGTAACCTACCTCGTGAAATCTGCGACAGGGAGATCTCAGAATTCTTACTCTCTGTTGCCGCTCGCTCCGCGCATATCCAGATGAAGGAGCAAGCATTGGCTGCCTTTCCCAACGAACAAGTGTACGAGCCTGTTGACCATTTTGCCATCGACGAAGATGATGGAGATTCAGACGATTATCATGTGTCGATGAAGTATCATCATGTCAAGTCTCGACGACAATCTTCGGCAGATTTGTCCTGGGAACTTGAGTACATGCGCCACCACAAGGAGGAGGCTGAAATGAGGATACGGGCTATGGGTGCATCTGGACAACCTAAGCCTTCATCAGAGCACAATAAGATTAGCAAGAGTCCACCCATGCTTGGTAATGACATCGTCCTTCCACGAAGTGCCTCACCCGAGGGAACAATATGTGAGTACTCTGGTACCGATGTGGCCTCTCGTGGCGTGCATGATCTTTGTACTGGCTGTGGGGGCATGTGGTATGCAGCACCTCCTCGGGGCAGCGGAAAGGGCGCTGGCCTTTGGATGGGCACTTGTTGCAAGGACGAGGGTCAAGAGCGAGAAGTGCGTGGTCTCTTACCTGGAATTGTTACCCCCATGCCTCGTGTTGATGAGGCTGGCATTAGCACAGGACTCAGCCCATCTCCTTCACATACACATCTGGATCGTCTCGCAGCCTCGCCTGGAAACCATAGTTCCCGCAAGCCGGCGAGCCCGAATCTCCAGAAAGCCATCGACTCCGAATTCCATGATGGATTTGTGACTCAAATTTATAATTACTTGTCTCTGGGTTACCCGTGCCTTGCCCGTTATTATGATTACGAACTCAGCCGAATTTCGGGCATCTCCATTGAGGATCTTCGTCGGGACGACTTGCAAACTGATGCTAGAGGCTATGTTGTAGCCCCCGGGACAGACAATCTCGCGGATGCCTGTGCACGATGGAAAGCTCTCCGTCTATATATTCAGGAATGGGCGAGGCAAGAGCCTGGCATGGTTGAAGAAGAAACCAACCTTGAAGGCTGGGGACTGCCAGAACGAAGAGGTAGCTGGGCCATTTGAAGTACTTGGAAGATCTAATTTGTATGTTATGACTGAGAAGCGCGCATGTTTGATATAAACGGGTGCATATTGAATTCACGTAACACTGTGGCTACTGGGTCTGGCGTTCTTGAATTTTCCACCAGGCTCGGAATTGTGCACGTGCAGCATTTCCTATGATACTCTACTACGAGGACACTATTGTGTCCGAAGAGTCCGAAGATGGTTATTTTGATTTTCAACTTGATCGAGAGAGTGAGGAGCCAGTTTCCACTAAAATTGCTCCAATATCTTGCTTTCTCCCCCTAGGCTGTGATATGTGTCACCAAAACCGGCAGACATGTGATTCTATTGCATGTTTCCCTTTCGAACCCTCTCATGAACGATGCCCGGGAAAATCTTCTGCTCCGGCAGACCATCTGCCCCCCCAACCCCTGTTCCGAGGGCAGGGCTGCCACCGGGAGAGGAGAACTCACCCGTCCCAAGGCGAGGTGATCGAGCTAGGTATGTCGATGGAGTCGATGGGGAAGTAGCCATGTGGATTGTACCATGGGCCTCACTGGGGGAGGCATCGATAGTGTTGGCTGCACTTGAACCCAGCTCAGATCGCGACTCGAGATTATGTGCAGAGTGATCTAAGAAAGGGTGGTATCGATGTCAGTCGCTGCGTAATTACTGATCACTCCCTTAAGATATATTTACCATGATTCGAGGACACCACTTCCCCTGGTAGACCTGGAGCCAAGCTCTTCTGCTCTCCGGTCCCATTGCCCTCAGAGTATCGCTCGATCCTGAGGGGACGATGTATGGTTAGCCCCATTTCCTTAACGCGAAAGACATCATGGGCAACTTACAGGGACAATTCTGCGAGCAAAGTCTCATGTCGGAATGCCTCACGAATATCTGGTACATTGCTCTTTGCAACATTATTGCCAGCGGTTCCAGGTAAGGAACATTTCGAGCCGAGCCATCTTTCTTTCAAGGAGAGTTCAAATCCACTTTGGTCAACTGAATGTTTGGCGAGTTCGCACATGTCAACCGCGCTGAATTTGTAGATCTGCGCTGCGACTGAGTATTCCTCAATGAGAGGCTCCTTTGTGAAAGCAAACTGCAATGGATCATCGGTGGACAAAGACACATTGAGTCCTCGCTTGAAGAAGGTAGCGCAGGGGTTCTTATCATACGTGAGGAATAAAGCGTTGTTACTAAGTGGTGACATGGCAATGCCGATCTGATCCAGATAGTAAAGGTATTGCAGGAGAGGTACCTTGCGCAGCAAGATACCATGACTGATGCTGTGGCAACAGAGGAATCCGACAGCTAGATGATCCGGGTCGCCTGCCTCTCCGCAATGAGGTCGTAGAACAAACGTGTTGAACCCTCGGCGTTTCCGCCAGTTGTTGAGAGAGGCAATGTTGGCAAACATGAAGTATAACCAATAAGTGTAAGGAGGATTCTGTTTAGTGCTCCACTCTCGTGGGATGGGATACTTTCTGTACAGCCGACGCTCGGGCTTGCTTTCATCATCCACACTGTCGAATCCAACAACTCGCTGGAGGAAGATGTGGAGTTTGGGATGACTAGCAGGATCCTTGGTCACTTCAAACAACGGCTGGAAGACATTGGTGATGACTTGTTCATAGTTCTCCATCATGCCGCTTGCTTTGTAGACATCATAGAGACGAGGCACTTGAATGAGCCAGCGAACATTAGGCGAGAACAACTTGTTGTCCACCACCCAGGCCGCAAGCTTGTCCCATTCCTGAAGGGAACGACCGTAGATCGAGATTCGCCATTCCACCATTTGGTATTTGCTAGATTCCAAGTCTGAGATCACCTCCTTGGTAATCTCTGCGAGGTAGCGACCTTTGATGTAATTGTCTGTTTTGAGGAAAATTTCACGCAATCGGGATTCTCCAACCGGATTATACTTCAAATTAAACTTGTCAAATCGGTGGAAAGAGTCGGTGTGTGCCTACGAAGTTAGAGTCAGAGCCAGAGTCAGTAATAGTAATACCTGTGGCTTAAGAGTGAGCGTAGGGGGGCGGGCAAATACTGATGTATTCAGACTGCCTCTTTCTTCATCTATAGATTCCTAAGAATCAAAGACAAGGGGTGTTACGAGGGACTTACGTGCATATCCAAAGTATCAATGCTCAAGTCATAAGCCGTCAAGTTGATACTCTCAAAGACCTCTCTCAAAGTCAGATGTTTTCCATCTCGGAAAAGAACAACTTCGTCCGGGGACTTCCTCATCTTGCTCTTGATGAAGCGAAGAAGATGTTTCTGGTTCATGCATGCCGAATGATGAACGTGAGTATCCACCTTGCGCACGTTGTAGAAGTCCCTATGAGGGACCTTTTTGCTGTCGGCCATCTCCTGGTATTCGTTAAGCAGCGTGTACAATTGGAATTTGCCCTCCAAATACGACAGCCGCTTGAACGCAAAACTCTTAGCAGGTCCGTCGGTCGACACATCCACAACGGCGTCCAGATCCATATAGAAATCGCGCAACGAGGGGATCTGGACAATAGGTGTCTGCTGGTCAGCAGCAGCCTCAGAATCAAAGACCTGATATACGCTATTGCCATCCAGCCTATACGTCCACGGTGATTCTTTGGGTAGAGGCATCAATTCCTCCATGTCAAAATCCTCCCCAATGTCTTGACCCATTTTCCTCTTCTTTCCTCCAAGGTCAGATGGGTCACCGAGGTTGCCGGGTTGATATTCTTTGCCGTCATCCCACGCAGGTTCTGGAGGCGGAGGATAGATCTCCCAGTCCGGTTGGTCCTTCGGATCATTGCCGGGTCCCTGCAAGGAAAGCTCCATGTACTGAGATCGCCGATCAAGTAGTTTCTTGATTTTGCAGTAGATAGCATTCAGCTCAGACGTCACAGCATCACTGCTAGACGCAAATCCACTAGCAACCTGCGGGCCCCCAATCCCCACACCGACGCTTTGCAGATTCTCCGCCGAGTATGGTCCCTGTCCATGGACAGCCCCTAGAAGCACCGCTTGGTTTCGGGCAGAGTCGTTCGCCTCACCTTGATCATCTTCGAGGTAATGAGACGCAGAGGGATCGGGCTCATTGGCGGATTGTAGGCGTAGTGTCGAAGGCTCGGGTTCGAAGACCATAGATCCCTCGCGAGAGACCCGGCCGTGAGTATTCATCGGATCCGAAAGGTTGACCGGTGAGTCCTCAGGGTGTTCGACTGCTGAGAGAGCTGGGGCCACTGGGCTCAAAGGCAGGGGGGAGTCGTTCCGCGCGGATAACTGATGATGTTGATAGAAGAGTCTTGCCTCGGCGTGACTCATGGACTTCTCATATGCATAGTCATAGGTGGCCGTTTTCTGCTGTTGATCTCTGGGCAAAATATCTTCTGCAGGCTGATCTAGTGCATTGGGGCTTTCATGGAGAGGAGAGTCCACGGGACCCTTGAGACCCGGGGATGAAGTGGTTGATTCATCGTTAGAGGAATCAGCGGCCGAGTTGGCATTCCGACTGGAACTGGGATCGGATTGAGGAGGTCCCATGATTGCTTCCCCCCCCCCCTTGCTATATCTTGTGTGTACCTTGTATAACTGAAAAAGTCAATAACTTGGGGTTTCACACCCAAACCAACGTGATTTCAAAACTGAAGAAAGTAATTGAATTAGAATAATTAGAAAATAGAAAGTAGATATTCAAACCAAAAGAGAAAAGAAAAGAGAAAAGGAGGAAAGAAAAAAAAAAACCTTCTCTCAAAAGCTCAAGCTCCCCCACTGTCGGTGAGAATTGGGGGAGAAGAAAGTCCAGGCCCAGAGAATCTGTAAAATACATATACATATATATATAAATACATAGTATATACATCTCTAATAGCGTTTGGATTCTACTAGGTGATTTGATTTGATTTATATTTGATTTGCATTGAATCTAATGACTGTCTCTAGACTATTCTACAGTTATTTAATATATAATATGTATATTTAGCTACATATATTTATACTTACAAGGTGAAGTAACTGTTATACATTATACATAGTTATATATACTAGTACATGTATGTATTATATATACAAAGTATATTACAATACCGTTCCCCTAACCTCTCCTCTTTCCTCTCTCTCTCCACCTTTAGGCTTCATCATTTTCCTTCTCTCAATATTTTCCCTTGATTCTGTACTTATCCTTTGTCGCAATATCCTCATCTTGAAAGCATTAATCCCCTGTTGCTGCTATTGCCTTTGCTCGGTCAGTGTTTACAATAGAGTCCCACGTTAACTCCCTCTTCTCCTATCTATCCACACCTCCAACTTATCTCACACCACAAGAGATTTGGAACTACTTCATGCTGACACTGCATGAGATACAGATATTGTAACAAAAAAAAAAAAAAAAAAAAAGCAAACACCCCTCCCACGTGGACACATCAAAAACTTGACAAGCTTTCCCTTCCCTCTCCCCCTCTCCCCGCGTATCCGCCGGAAGTTATGGCTTCTCTCAATCTCTCGTCCAATGGCCCCTCGATATCGAAAAGTTACCAGACAGTGGTGAATGCACCACCCCCTTCTGGGAATGGGTCTCCCACTTATGGCCAATGGGCTGTCTACTCGGTTTCTACCCCGCTTGTCAGTGCCTTCCAGCAAGATGGGGGCAAGGAGAGTGTCCTTAAGGTTCAGAGCACCGGAGGTTAGTGATCCCTTTTGTTCTTGTGTTTGTTTGTTTTTTTTTTACCAAGCCCATCATCTCACATTGACATATCGTACTGCCAGAGGGTGAATTGGCCGATCTCATCGAGGAATTTTCCGAAGGACGGGTGCAATTCGCCTTTGTGAAGGTGACGGATTCCAACACCGGTCTTCCCAAGAACGTTCTCATTGGCTGGTGTGGAGAAGGTGTGCCGGAGCGAACAAAGGGTTACTTTACCAGCCACCTGGCTACAGTTGCCAAGTTCCTTCATGTGAGGAGTTTCCTTTCCATGACGCAACTGACGCGGTGTGAGACTGACTCAGCTGGATAGGGATACCATGTGCAGATC